TGGTGATGAAATCTCTGAGTACTTGCTTGTTCACGAAAAATTTTATTTTTCCTTCACTTATGAAGCTTAGTTTGGCTGGATATGAAATTCTGGGTTGAAAGTTCTTTTCTTTAAGGATGTTGAATATTGGCCCCCACTCTCTTCTGGCTTGTAGGGTTTCTGCTGAGAGATCTGGTATGAGTCTGATAAGCTTCCCTTTGTGGGTAACCTGACCTTTCTCTCTGGCTGCCCTTAGCATTTTCTCCTTCATTTCAACCCTGGTGAATCTGACGATTATGTGCCTTGGGGTTGCGCTTCTTGAGGAATATCTTTGTGGTGTTCTCTGTATTACCTGGAGTTGAATATTGTCCTGCCTTGCTAAGTTGGGAAAGTTTTCCTAGATAATATCCTGAAGAATATTTTCCAGCTTGGATTCATTCTCTTCGTCACATTCAGGTACACCTACCAAACGTAGAGTACGTCTTTTCACATAGTCCCATATTTCTTGGAGACTTTGCTCATTCCTTGTTACCCATTTTTCTCTAACCTTGTCTTCTCGTTATTTCATTAAGTTGGTCTTCGACCTCTGATATCCTTTCTTCTGCTTGATCAATTCTAATGTTAAAACATGTGCATACTTTGAAAAGTTCTTATATTGTGTTTTTCAGCTCCATTAATTCACTTATATTCCTCTCTAAATAGTCTATTCTCATTAGCATTTCGTCAAACCTTTTTTCAATGTTCTTAGTTTCTTTGCATTGGGTTAGAACATGTTCTTTTAGCTCACAGAAGTTTCTTATTATCCACCTTCTGAAGCCTGATTCTGTCAATTCATCACATTCATTCTCCATCAGACCTTGTTCCGTTGCTGACGAGGAGCTGCAATCCCCTGTAGGAGGAGAGACATTCTGATTTCGGGTGTTTTCAGCCTTTTTGTGCTGGTTTCTCCCCATCTTTGTGGATTTATCCACCTGTTGTCTTTGTAATTGCTGACATTCAAATTGGGTCTCTGAGTGGACGTCCAGCTTGTTGGTGATGATGTTTTTTTTCTGTTTCTTAGTTTTCCTTTGGTGGACGCCCCTCCCCCACAGAGCTGGACCTTCCTGGGTTCATCTGTGCTTGCTGTGAAACTCTCAATCTTCAGTGCTTCCAATTGTTGTTTTTTTGTGGGGGTGGGACCAGCCGAGCCCCATCACCTGGCTCCCTGTCTAAGAGCTTGTACTTCTTTTTTTTTTAGTTGAATGGTCAACTCTCTCCCAGGTATTCCAGTTGCCCACTAAAAAGTCGCCTGAATCTGTGTAATTTCCCCTGCAGCAACCCACTGTACCAGCGGCATTGAGATTCATGGCACTCCTCTGCCCGGGAGTCTCCCGGTCTGGCTCCCCACTTCAGTCGCCCCTTCAGTCAGCTGAATGGGTGACTCTGCCTTCCCGGAGCTCCAAACGCCAACTAAAAGACGTTTGGAGGGCACCCAGTCCCGTATACTCCGCACTGAGAACCGCTGTGCCGGGGCACCAGCAAAATAGCTGCACTGGCTAAAAGAGTCATGCTGGTGACCCGTGGGGCTCCTCTGCCGGGAATCTCCTGGTCCATGGGCAACAAAAATTCATCTGGAAGTGTGGCATCCACTCATTCTCTGCGCTTTCACCAGGAGCTATAATCCTGAGCTGCTGCTAATTGGCCATTTTGGATCTCTCCTGCTAGGGATCTTTTGACCTGAGAGACTGGTTCAGGCCATGACAGGAAGTAGGAATGAGACATGCTTGATTATACACCTCCAGCGTTAACATCAACACAGATTTTAAGTCTGATACGAAACATTTTACAACCATTCTCTCTGAAGCCTGTGACCTGGAGGCTTCATGTGCATGATAAAACTTTGGTCCCCACAACCTTTTTTTTGGGGGGGATGGGGTCTCACTCTGTTGCCCAGGCTAGAGTGCAGTGGTGCATTCTCAGCTTGTTGAAACCTCTGCCTCCTACATTCAAGAAATTCTCCCACCTCAGCCTCCCGAGTAGCTGGGATTACAGGGGTATGCCACCATTCCTGGATAACTTTTGCATTTTTAGTAGAGATGGGGTTTCACTGTGTTGGCCAGTCTGGTCTCAACCTCCTGAGTCTCCACAACCTCTTATAACAACCCAGACATTCCTTTCTGTTGATCCCAGGTCTTTGGATAAACTCAACCAATTGTCAATCAGAAAATTTTTAAATCTACTGATAGATAAACTCAAGTTCTTCCTCAAATAAAGCATACCCTGTCTGCCTGTTCTTTGAATTTTAAAAGTCCTAACCCACTGATTCCCTAACCTGCCAGGGTGTGCCTAGACATGCCCAGGCATATCTTAACTTATAGCATATACTGCTTTCCTTATTTAGACATGTTATTGCTTTCCTAGCTCTTTAGCAAGAGTCTTCCTCCCTCCCTTTGCTCTCCATTGTCTTTACCAATATAGGATAGTTTTAAGCTCAGCCAATTGGGGTTTAGCTTAGACTGTGAGGTCCAGCTCCAGCCAATGGAGACTGGACACATGGTCGAAGCCTAATGCATTAGGGATAAAAAGTCCCCCTCTCCTTTGTTCATGGTGCTCTTGTGGCGAGCAGGTTCACGGGTGGCACCCTTATGCGTAAGTAAAATTGCCTTGCTGAGAACTCCTTTGAGTGCTTGTTTTCTTTGCAACTTCAAACTTTTACTTCTAACATCTACTTATAAGCTGGAATCCCCAACCCCCAAAGTTGTCCTCCCTTTCTAGACCAAACCAATGTATTTTCTTAAATGTATTTGACTGATGTTTCATGCCTCCCTAAAATGTATAAAACCAACCTGCACCCCAGCCACCTTGGGTACATGTTCTCAGGTCCTCCTGAGGGCTGTGTCATGGGCCATGGTCATTTATATTTGGCTCAGAATAAATCTCTTCAAATATTTTACAGGGTTTGACTCTTTTTTGTCAACCAAAGTATAAGGGAATTTCAAATATTTTTTCCTCTTAAAATCAAACTACTGCTTAGCACTTTATTTTCTAAACAAATAACCATTTAGAATTGGTTGAATATTGAAGATAAAATCTAAAGTTTAAGTGTACTTTGCATATATTAAAGGATCACAAAATAGTTTAATGGGTTTTCATTTTATTAGTTATTCACAATTCCTACTTCAAGATATTCTACAACATAAGAAAAGGAATATTATAGCTACTTGTAGGCAGTGCCAGTTGAATTAATGCAAATTTTTGAAATATGATTTAAATATTTTTCACAAGACAGGCATTTAATAAAATAAATATGTGAATTTCTTATACTATGTTACCAGAGGTAAAGACTCCCTGACAGTTTCTTCCATATAAAAATCCAAGACGAAACTGATCAAATAGAGTAAGAGCAGAATGAGTATTAGGACTTTTGAGAACTAGTAACCTAATCCATATTGCTCAATGAAACATTAAGCTGCAGAGGAAACATTACAATGTAATGTAATAAAAGAAATAGCACCTTTGAAAAACCAAGTTAGAAAGTAAACATTTGCAACAATATTCTAAACTACAAATCTCTTTGTGAAAAATATCTGTAAAGGAGGTTACCACCACAAAATCAAGTGATTTTTAAAAGTGTAATGTTATATGTTGATTGTTAAATGGAAACAATACAGAACATTTAAAGCCAAAATTAGAACTACATATCTATTGGGCAAAAAAAAAGTTCCTTTTCTTTTAAAGTCACATATTTAATATTTTCTCAAAAACTGGGTAGTATATCAACATTTCTGAATAAAAGAGGGACATTTTTTAAAAGCCCTATTTAGAAATTAAGGCATTAAAGTATTCTCTGGTGTATCTTTTTTATTAAATACAAGGACAGGAACTTAATTACAAGACATTTTGCTGCTCAGTGGAATTCAGAATGAGATAAGTCTGTTTTTAGATCATACCCCAAAATGTTTAGTTACCTAAGTACCACAAGTGGATTATCCTAACAATTGTTACAAGATGATTCCAAAGTATAGAGAAGATTTTCTCAACCAGAGTTCTGAGTACAGCCTCATCATTATTATCATCATCATCATCACTATTTTTCAGAGACAGGGTCTTGCTGTCACCCAGGCTTAAGTGCAGTTGTACCATCATAGCTTACTATAACCTGGAATTCCTGGGCTCAAGTGATCCTCCCACCTCAGCCTCCCAAGTAGCTGGAACTACAGTCATGTGTCACCATGCCTGGTTAATTTTTTTTGTATATATATATTTTTAAGAGATGGGGTCTTGCTGTGTTGCTGGTCTTGAACTCCTGAGCTCAAATGATCCTCCTGCCTCAGCCTTCCCAGGTGCTGGGATTACAGGTGTGAGCCACCACTCCCAGCCTGAATACGACATTGTAATCAGATGTCCTGTTACTTTTTTAACAGTGGGGCAAATATTTATACTCTTCCTAACCTCTTAAAATCTTCATGGTTGAAAAGCTTGTCTTTAAGTGGCTAATTTAAATAAAAATAGGCTTTTTTAGCAGTATAAATAGTTTCAACTGCCTAGAAATATTTCCAAGGAATATTTTCCAACTGTGACATCTACTTGAATATGTGTTTTTACGCTGCTATTTTATCTACATCAAAAGTCTTATTTTAGCAAATTATATCCACGCATCCAAAAATTGTTATTAATCATAACACTGCCTTGTTTCCTGAAAAAATAGATTGTGGGTTCAAAAACACCAATACATTATTAACAAGTTGTTAACAAATTTGCATTTACTTTCATTTATAAATATCACTGGCAGATATAATAGTAAATCATTAAACTAATTTCTAAATATTGATTTAAAAAGCTTTGAGCATGTTTTAAAAAAAATTAGTAAAAGTTTTTTTTCCCTCAGGTAATACACCTAATTATTTTGTTAGTAATCAGCACCTACCCAAGAGTTATTGATATTTGCACAGTTCTTGTAAAAATTAGATCTGGCATAAGAGGAACACAAACATTGGCAAATACCACGTCTCAAGTTACATTTTAAGAAACCATACAATCCATGATATTTCACAAAGTTGTTTATTCTTGTTCTTAAAACTTGGACTCAAGTAATCCTGGTTATTCTGGAAAAAGCACCTTGTTTGCAGGGATCATTTAATCATCCTTTTCTACAATCACCTCTCCATGAAGCACCTTTCTTCTTTGACGTAACATATGAAAATAGAGTTGTGGAAACACTTCATTGAAAAAGAAAACAAAGAAAATGCTTTAAAATCATTTATACTTGAAACTTGTTAAATATGGCAATGTTAGAGAGTAAATACATTCCATACCACTGCTGTTCCCTGGATACTTACAGAGCTCAGGAGTGTAGGAGTGCAAATGGGTAGGGTACAGTGGCTCACTCCTGTAATCCCAGCACTTTGGGAGGCCGTGGTGGGCGCATCACCTGAGGTTGGGAGTTCAAGTCCAGCCTGACTAAACATGGAGAAACCCCGTCTCTACTAAAAATACGAAAAATCAGCTGGGCATGGTGGTGCATGCCTGTAATCCCAGCTACTCAGGAGGCTGAGGCAGGAGAATCACTTGAACATGGGAGGTGGAGGTTGTGGTAAGCCAAGATCACACCATTGCACTCCAGTCTGGGCAACAAGAGCGAAACTCTGACTCAAATAAAAAAGAATGCAAATGGAGGCTACATACCACAGGTCTAAATATTATAATGCTGTAACTGTTGGGGTTTTGTTTTTATTTTTGCTTTTTTTTTTTTTTCTGAGACAGACTCTTGTGCTATTGCCCAGGATAGAGTGCAGTGGCATAATGTCAGCTCACTGCAACCTCTGCTTCTGGTTTCAAGCGATTCTCCTGCCTCAATCTCCCGAGTAGCTGGGATTACAGGCATATGCTACCACGCCCAGCTAATTTTTGTATTTTTAGTAGAGATGGAGTTTCACCATGTCGGTCAGGCTGGTCTTGAACTCCTGGCCTCAAGTGATCTGCCTTCCTTGGCTTCCCAAAGTGCTGGGATTACAGGCATGAGCACTGCACCTGGCCTACTTTTGCTTGTTTTTTAACAATCCTTTTTTAAAAAATCCCTTCATAATGACACGGAAGACCATGTTTGAATTTAGAATTCTGAACTCTCTGGAATGCTATGCCGAACATTCCAGCACAGGGAAAACTGGTCCACCCAACTTCCTCTTCTCCATTCTCTTGGCTGTATCCTGTACTGCAAGGAGTCTCCTGCACATGTGTGTAGAGACCCTGGTGCATACATCTAAGCTTCATCCACTCATACTTTCTCACAAATAACTACCCCCTGTTTACTCAGGGGTGCATATACTGTGACATGGTTAACCCTCAGGACAATGGATCAAGGAAGAAGCCTAGTTAGGGCCCCAGAGGCAAGCTGATTGCCATCTGGATAGCAAATTCCATTGTCTCAGGGGTGGCCGGGTGCGGTGACTCATGTCTGCAATCCCAGCACTTTGGGAGGCCAAGGTGGGCAGATCACGAGCTCAGGAGATTGAGACCACCCTGGCTAACACAGTGAAACCCCGTCTCTACTAAAAATACAAAAAACTAGCCAGGCATGGTGGCACGTGCCTATAGTCCCAGCTACTCAGGAGGCTGAGGCAGAATTCCTTGAACCTGGGAGGCAGAGGTTGCAGTGAGCCAAGATTGCACCACTGCAGTCCAGCCTGGGGAACAGAGCAAGACTCTATCTCAAAAACAGAAAAAAGGCAGTGGGGTGCTGTGTGGAGTGACAGTGAGGGGCTACAAGGTCCTCTAAATGGGGCCTAAAGCAGATGCTCTTCCTGGCTGGGTATAAGGGTATTTAGTCTATTATGTAATAAACACATGAATATATGTTATTAGGTCAGTTGGACAGATTTTCATCTGCTCAGTCAAATTTGAAGAATATTTTGAACCAATTTGAACCAGTGTTTCAAATCACAGTATAAATGTTGGTGGATAAACAAATTAAAATCAGCTATAAACAATACCAGTGTAAAAATATTTCTGAATATAATGATGAGAATAATCAAACCAGTGAACCTTATCACAAAACAAGCTTTGAATATCTTGCTTAGGCAACTATGGGTAAAAATTTCTTTGTAGAACTTAGCTCAGACAGAGCGAAAATGCACAATAGGTTTTATTTCTTTTTATTTAGGTACTTCCTAACTTCAGAAAGGTAACCATTACATTACATATACCTAGGGGCCTAAATTGATTCAGGTCATAATTACTTAAACTCACTGACCAATTATTTTAAATACTTTAATAAAATTCTGAGTAGCTGAACAAAAGGTATGGGCTTGAGTTCAAACCCTGGCTTTATTTACTATATTCACCAGCTAGTGGTTTTTTTTTTTTTTTTTTTTTTTTTGAGATGGCGTCTCCCTCTTGTCGCTGAGGTTGGAGTGCAGAGGCACAATCTCGGCTCACTGCAACCTCTGCCTCCCGGTTTAAGTGATTCTCCTGCATCGGCCTCCCAAGTAGCTGGGACTACAGGTGCCCACTACCATGTCTGGCTAATTTTTGTATTTGTAGTGGAGACAGGGTTTCACCATGTTGGCCAGGCTGGTCTTGAACTCCTGACCTCAAGTGATCTACCCACCTTGGCCTCCCAAAGTGCCGGGATTACAGGTGTGAGCCACCATGCCCGGCTGCCAGCCAGTGATTTTTAAGCAACTCACTTAACCTCTTTCATCTTAATGTAAATGAGAAATTATACTGCTACTTTTGAGTAATAAGTCCTCAAAAAGTACTTTTAATTAGCAAAGGATTTAATAAGCGAAGAAAAATTAATCGATCTACTACTAACATCAAGAATGCAGGGGGAGGAGGGAATTGCAAAAAAAAGAATGCAGTGAAAAACATGTCCCAGGCCGAGTGATCTTCTGGCCAGTGGGACTCGGCAGCTGGCAGCATGGTGAACCGGGAAGCTGCTATTTGTACAGGCCAGAGTCTACATCTCCCAGGACACCTGGAAAAGGTGCTTCAGGTCCTCTGTTTCCATGGAGATGCCTCGAAGGCCATGAGGAAGAGAATAACCCACTGCTTGAACCTGTAACTGTCAGACACCTCAGCAAGCTCTGGTTCTGCTCAAGGCATGCTACCAACCACTGGGAAAAGTGAGGGATGTGGACCAAGAGAGTAGGCTTCCCCTCCTTAGCTCTCTTGAACTGGCCCAGATAGAAAATCAGATACAGAATTGGGTTGAAATGGTAGAAGATGAGGGGAAAACACATCTTTCACCACTAAGTAAATTCTGACTTTTGGAAAGATGCAAGTTAAAGGCATTGGCCAGGGGCGGTGGCTCACACCTGTAATCCCAGCACTTTGGGAGGCCAAAGTGGGCACATCCCTTGAGGTCAGGAGTTTGAGACCAGCCTGGCCAATATGGTGAAACCCTCATCTCTACTAAAAACATAAGAATTAGGTGGGCATTGTGGCAGGTGCCTGTAATCCCATGAACCCAGAAGGCGGAGATTGCAGTAAACCGAGATCACACCACTGCACTCCAGCCTGGGCAAAAGAACAAGACTCCGTCTCAAAAAAACAAAAAAAGTTGGATACCTCAAAAGGCTAGCCAAGTTTTATGTTCATCTCCTTTAGGTGAAATAGTTTATATCACATCAGTGTAGATTTTAGAGCTATCAATATTTGACCTAAAAATATATCACTGTTAGCATTTTTTTTTTTTGAGACAGAGTTTCGCTCTGTTACCCAGGCTGGAGTGCAATGGCATGATCTTGGCTCACCGCAACCTCCGCTTTCTGGGTTCAGGCAATTCTCCTGCCTCAGCCTCCCAAGTAGCTGGGACTACAGGCACGCACCACCATGCCCAGCTAATTTTGGTATTTTTAGTAGAGACGGGGTTTCACCTTGTTGACCAGGATGGTCTCGATCTCTTTACCTCGTGATCCACCCTCCTCGGCCTCCCAAAGTGCTGGGATTATAGGCGTGAGCCACAGCGTCCGGCCAGTTTTTTTTTTTTTTTTTTTTGACAGAGTTTTGCTCTTATGGCCCAGGTTGGAATGTAATCATGCTATCTCAGCTCACTGCAACCTCTGACTCTTGGGTTCAAGTGATTCTTCTGCCTCAGCCTCCTGAGTAGCTGGGATTACCAGCACCCGCTACCATGCCCAGCTAGTTTTTCTATTTTTAGTAGAGATGGAGTTTTGCCATATTGGTCAGGCTGGTCTCGAACTCCTGACCTCAGGTGATCCACCTGCCTTAGCCTCCAAAGTGCTGGGATTACAGGAGTGAGCCATTGAGCCCGGCCTCACTATTAGCACTTAAATGGAGTAAAGCCTCGCCAATTCATTGTAACTACTGAAAGGTGATAATAAATGTAGTGAAGAGGCTGAGTTATTCAAAATCCTTTAAGAAAAGTGGCTGTATTGTTTTCAAGTACACAGAGAAACACAAATAAGACTCAAACCTACTCCTAGATGATTTTTCCAAGTATATGCTTAATGAATAGGTAAAACTGATCTGAAATTTTCTTGGATAGATTGTTTATACTCAGACATACGATTCTAAATGCTTGTAAAAAGTACACTAATGCTTTAAACATGATTTATTTTTATCTTTCTTTAAAAAACATCATACTAAGCTGATGTTTAAATGATTTTGAGACAGCTATCATCCATGCATTAACTTACTTGCCTTATTTATTTATTTTGAGACGGAGTCTCGCTCTGTCGCCCAGGCTGGAGTTCAGTGGCACGATCTCAGCTCACTACAACCTCCACCTTCCGGTTTCAAGTGATTCTCCTACTTCAGCCTCCTTAGTAGCTGGGATTACAGGCTTGTGCCACCACGCCTGGCTAATTTTCGTGTTTTTAGTAGAGACGGTGTTTCACCATGTTGGTCAGGCTGGTCTCGAACTCCTGACCTCAAGTGATCTGCCCATCTCAGCCTCCCAAAGTGCCAGAATTATAGGTGTGAGCCACCGTGCCTGGCCTGCTTGCCTTTATTCTCATAGCTAGTGTAATATCTTCTGTCTCACTCTTCCTTCAGTTTTCCCAAATTATCAGTAAATATGGGATTAAACTGAAGTTTTAATGTATTTGTAAGCAATTATTTCTAATTACTTCCCCTTGCTTATTATGCTCTCCTTCCAAAAATTTCCACATTCTATGTCAAATCAAAGTACTAACAAGTATATACTTACATGGTATATATGAGGCCATAGTTATAAGGAGAAAATAATAGTAGTCAAAAGAGACATTGTATTTGTTAGGGAGTCTTATTGAAAACATTCCCGTTTTCTTCACATACGGCAAGGCGGCATATATTGTAAGAAGTTCCCCAGCAACTCCGACAGGATATAAGATGATAAAAAAATTGTATCTGGAGAAAGAAAAACCTCAGAGGATTATTTTTCTACAGTAGTTATTAGACTTTACATTGCAGATCTGTTGCTACTACTAAATTTAAACTTCAAAATTTTCTTTTCTTTACAATAACCTCACATAAAGTTAATATTTCTACTTTAATCATTTGCTTATTAATTATCACCTTTCTTTCCTAATAACAGCTTCCTCTTTAAAAGGCAAGGTCTTTGTAATAAAATAGTATCAACTAATTTTAGAGTACCAAAATAACTTTATACATTACAAAATGTATATGTAGTTTTATTTGTTTTTGTTTTGCGCCGGAGTTCGCTTTTGTCACCAAGGCTGGAGTGCAGTGGAGCAATCTCGGTTCTACCTTCTGGGTTCAAGCAATTCTCCGGCCTCAGTCTCCCAAGTAGCTGGGATTACAGGTGTGCACCACCATGCCCAACTCATTTCTGTATTTTTAGTAGATATGGAGTTTGACCATGTTGGCCAGGCTAGTCTCGAACTCCTTCAGGTGATCCACCTGCCTTGGCCTCCCAAAGTGCTGGGATTACAGACATGAGCCACTGTACCTGGCTTCTGTAGTTTAAAAAAATGTAGTGTAATGGTAACTTCTTTGGTTCATAGAATCACAAATGACTGCTTTTGTCCCTGGCAGCTAATAATTTACTGATCAAATGCTGCATTTAAAAAGACCAGTAATTATCCTAAATTTTATATCTAAACCTTGAAATTACCAAGGTAATTATTTTTAAGAGGCATTTGGAAAAGTCTTTGTGGTTACTAATGAGAAGCGATTATTGCCGAAAACTGATAACACCTAAAGCATGAGTAACTACTAATAAGTATATTATATTGTTTAAAACTGCTCCCATAACAAAACAAGTTGACAAGTTACTTCCTGAATTCCCACATTAAAGGAGTAGTTAGCTTGTTTAAAATAGAGCTCAGAAACTTCAACTCTAAATCCAAAGTCACCATGTGTTCATTCGGTCTGTGACAAGGTCTGCAACACACAGGAAGCCAGGCATCATGTATACCTTTAATTAGGAAACACTGTTCTACTGGCTGGTCTCCAGTAAGAGGGGCCTAAAGGATCCAAGATGACAACATTTCTTCATTAAAGAAAATCATCGCCGGGTGCAGTGGCTCACGCCTGTAATTCCAGCACTTTGGAAGGCTGAGGAGGCTGGATCATGAGGTGAGAAGTTCAAGACCAGCCTAGCCAAGACGGTGAAACCCCGTCTCTTGTAAAAATACAAAAATTAGCCAGATGCAGTGGCAGGTGCCTGTAATCCCAGCTACTCAGGAGGCTGAGGCAGAAGAATCGCTTGAACCCAGAGGTTGGAGGTTGCAGTGAGCTGAGATTCCGCCACTGCACTCCAATCTGGGCAACAGAGTGAGACTCCATCTCAAAAAAAAAAAGAAAAAGAAGGTCGGCTGCGGTGGCTCACGCCTATAATCCCAGCACTTTGGGAGGCCGAGGCGGGTGGATCACGAGGTCAAGAGATCGAGACCATCCTGGTCAACATAGTGAAACCCCGTCTCTACTAAAAATACCAAAATTAGCTGGGCATGGTGGTGCGCGCCTGTAGTCCCAGCTACTCGGGAGGCTGAGGCAGGAGAATTGCTTGAACCCAGGAGGTGGAGGTTGTGGTGAGCTGAGATCGTGCCATTGCACTCCAGTCTGGGTAACAACAGCAAAACTCCATCTCAAAAAAAAAAAAAAAGAAAAAGAAAAAAGAGAATCATTTTTCTCCAAGTTGTTCACAATGTAACAGTTACCACAGAAAATTAAGGTCAAAAGGCCAGAGTGCGAGACCAGCCTGGACAACATAGTGAGACTCTGTGTCTACCAAAAAAAAAAAAAAAAAAAATTAGCCAAGCACAGTGGTGCATGCCTGTAGCTACTCAGGAGGCTGAGGCAGGAGGATTGCTTGAGCCCAGAAGGTCAAGGGGGCAGTGAGCCAAGGCAATACCACTGTACTCCAGCTTGGGTGACACCACGAGTCACCTGTCTCAAAAAAATTAATTTAAAAAAGAAAAATGTTTTTAATTTAAAATCAAAGGTCAACATTTTGATGGAAAAAGAAATCAAATTAATCTGTATTTTATTTAATTACTTTGTTGGCATTAAGAAATACCTATGAAGAAAAGTCAAAGTTGTCAGTATTGAAGAAGGTTGGAGACAAATTAAAAATCACCTTATTCCTGTATGTCAGGGATATACGAAGATAAAAGATGGGGAGGCGGGCAGAATTATTTGCCAAAACAGATGAGCTGTTCAAGAAAGAAGAATGATTGATTCCTTCACTGTATCTGTTTATCCCTTCCTGGCCTTGGAGAAACTCCCTGCTTTCTTACTAGTCTGGTGTAGTTTTTGTGTATCATTTAAATCAGTCCTTTCCTATACCTCAATTTTTTTAAATCACATAACTGGAAATTTTACATACCTGTCTCAATAAAATATCCAAACTGATTAACTTGTAATTTTTACTTTATGTGGCTTTCAAATGATTTTTTGGCAGAATTGTTCTTTAACAGAAGAAAAAGTTATCACTCCTACAATAAGCTAGTTGAAAGTCTTAAAGGCAGTGAAAATTTCTAATGAAATGGGAACAAATTATATAATTTATTTGTCTTTACTTGCACTTCAAAACATTGCATGTCACTAACTCTCTAAATTCTGAAGGCAGTGTGGGAGATTTAACTATGGTTAGAACACATTAAAAAAAAAAAGATAATGCGTCTTTGAAGGTTCCCAATTACTGTCTAAAATTGTTTTGAAGGGAGTGCGTTTTCTAAATCAAAATGGAAATCAATATGAAAAACAGAACTTACTATACAATTACCTATTCTGAGGACTTTTCCAAGAACACTTGTAACACAGAAATAGAATCAAAGTATATTCAAACTGAAACAATAGGCCCAACTACTTATAAGTAAGATGCCATTTCTTTTTTTTTTTTTTTTTTAGACAGAGTTTCGCTCTTGTTACCCAGATTGGAGTGCAATGGCACGATCTCGGCTCACCACAACCTCCGCCTCCTGGGTTCAAGCAATTCTTCTGCCTCAGCCTCCCGAGTAGCTGGGACTACAGGCGCGCACCACCATGCCCAGCTAATTTTTGTATTTTTAGTAGAGACGGGGTTTCACCTTGTTGACCAGGATGGTCTCGATCTCTTGACCTTGTGATCCACCCGCCTCGGCCTCCCAAAGTGCTGGGATTATAGGCGTGAGCCACCGCGCCTGGCCGTAAGACACCATTTCTAAAGTGAAGTTTTATTTGAGAACAACAGCTTCAACATCTGAACATAAATACAAATATTATTTTACATTATTTAATAGGATCAGGAAATATATTTAGATGGCTGGGATTTTTTGAGACCTTTCTGACATGAAACATAATTATGATTAGTATCCACTGATGATATATTATCGAAAACATGATTTCAAAGCGGAAACATTGTATAACTTGTTTAACATTAAAGTAATGGAAAAACGCTTTCTTTTTTTGAGACAGAGTCTCACTCTGGAGCCCAGCCTGGAATGCAGTGGCATGATCTCAGCTCACTGCAACCTCTGCCTCCTGGTTCAAGCAATTCTGCCTCAGCCTCCCAAATAGCTGAGACTACAGGCCATGCGACTAATTTTTGTATTTTTTAGTAGAGATGGGGTTTCACCATGTTGGCCAGGCTGGTCTCAAATTCCTGACCCCAAGTGATCCGCCCGCCTTGGCTGCCCAGAGTGTTGGGATTACAGGCATGAACCACCACACCAAGTCTGCAATGAATAAGCAGTTTCTAAAAAGGAAACTTCAACATACGATGGCAGAGTTTTTAACTTTTCCAGACACTCAAGACATGCAAATGCATTGCAAAAGGCAGACACACAGAGCCATCAAGAGTAACGTGCTTGACCTCAGGAAAATGTGCAGTGTACATTCCACTGTCTTCTTCAGACAAATTTTGTAAATTCAGCACGTGAAAAGAGACTTTATCATGAGTTAGTATTTTCAAAGGTGCCAGAGGTCCAGAACATTGTCATGCAAAGTGATATTCATGTGTTCTAGGATTAGAGTCCTGCTGCATTCAAAACTTCCAATCTTTTAAAAAGCCCAGTCACTAGAGGTAAATACGTTTTCATGTACAGTAAGATTAAAACCAAACAAATCCATATAAATGGTAGTGCAGCCTTCTTATGACAGAAAGGGTACTTAAGCTCAAATTATAATTTTAAAATATTTCATCATATGCAAAGTGGTAAGCCACAAGTGCCTAAAAAAGAACTAGAGAACATTAAAAAGTCTAAGCAAATAGGTAACACAGCCAGGTGCGGTGGCTCACACCTGTAATCCTAGCATTTAGGGAGGCTGAGTTGCGTGAATCACTTGAGCTCAGGAGTTCGAGACCAGCCTGGGAAACATGGTGAAACCCCGTCTCTACAAAAAAATCCAAAAATTAGCCTAGTGTGGTGGCCTGTGCCTGTACTTCCAGCTACTTGGGAGGCTGAGGCAGGAGAATTGCTTGAGCCCAGACAGTGAATATTGAGGTGAGTCAAGATCATGTGACTGCACTCCAGTGAGGGTGACAGGAGACCCTGTCTCAAAAAAAGAAAAAAACATATATATAAAACACAATTCACAGTGATTATCCTTGGGTAGAGAGATTAAAAGTAATTTAAAAGTAGATTTCCTTCTTTTAGGTTTTTATTTTCTCATTTATTAGATTCAAACATGTGTAATACATGAGATTAATAAGGAGCAATTGACCAGGCATGGTGGCTCACACCTATAATCCCAGCATTATAACCACCTGACCTATCACATATATATTAGTTTACGTTTGTCTTCGTCCTAAGACAGAGAATTTGTTTTGTTAATACCTGCATCTCAGGCATGCAGTAGGCACATACCATTTGTCATTGTTATTGCTACTGTAAGTACAATATAAAGAAGAGAATGAACAAATCTGTACTGATTTGTGATTTGTTCTCCACAGAGCAGTTTTGCTTTTGTAATGACTTTCTAAAGTATCACTTGCTCAAAGATTGCAACTTCAAAAGGAACAGATATCTTTTGCTTTGAAAACTGTTGCTTGAAAAAATTTATATTTGAAGGCCTTCAAATACAAACTTTGTCCACATTCCAAATAATACAATTTTAAGTAAGTGTGACTTTTTAAAATATCTCTGCAACTTAAAGAAAAAAGCCAGTTGTATAGTATAAATGACATACACTGTGGCTGCTAGACTATTAAAATAATTTACACCATAGTCAAAAAACAATATTTTGGGCACTGCTTATTTAAGCTGATTCCAAAAATGTATATTGTGCATTCCCCAAAAAATGAATGACCAATTCTGACATTAAGGATACGACAATAATTCGTCTTGCATTGATTTCACTCAAAATATACATTAATATGATTCCTCTCTGATCGTTAAGCTTTTAGAATACAAATCATAACTTGTGTAATTATTAGTTATACCAGCTAATATCTAAAGCAACATCATTCTGGCATCGTGAGGCTGACACACAAATTTTAATTCTCTGCTGTTAGCTCCGCACACAAAATCAGCATGCACAGGACGAGAAACTAAACTGCAAGACATCGCCACCTGGCCCATTTAATGAAGTATGGCAAGTGATCAAGAAGGCTGAATGTGTAGAAGGAATAGCGAGTGATCTCTGTCACCGTCCACGCCACCAGAAAAAGCACCACACTCTCCTCATTCTGGATCTGCAGAATTACAGAGAAATCCACAGTGTCGTTCAATCTTGGAACTTCTTTTTCAATGAAGATACTTTCTTTACTTATGTATTGCCTTTTATTTAGAATGGAATGCTAGGGTTAGACAAATGCAATACAGAAAACTTAATGCAGTCACCATTAATGTAATTAATTATGAACGTGGAACTTAAATATGTCCTGCACACAGGAATAGTTGACTTTTGACTGGTTTTTCTTCTCTCGTCCTTCACTTCAGGCAGTAACGCTATCACCTGAGGACAAAGTTACCCGGATGAAACCTAAATGAGAACAATCTGACCTTCCTACTGCTATTAATTCACACCTGCTCTACTTTAAGACCGACGCTTGAATTGCTCACTCATGTTTGCCCCTTTTACCACTATTTTAATTTAGGGGTTTATCATCTCTCATCTGGACTACTGTAACTGTCTCCTAAATGGTCTTTCCTCTCTTTATTCTCCTCATGAATGCAAGTTTTCTTTTAAAAAATAAGTCAGAGAAGCAAATCAATAAAAAACAAATTGGAGGCCCGGCGCGGTGGCTCAAGCCTGTAATCCCAGCACTTTGGGAGGCCGAGGCAGGTGGATCACGAGGTCAAGATATCGAGACCATCCTGGTTAACGTGGTGAAACCCCGTCTCTACTAAAAATACAAAAAATTAGCTGGGCGTGGTGGCATGTGCCTGTAATCCCAGCTACTCGGGAGGCTGAGGCAGAAGAATTGCCTAAACCCAGGAGGCGGAGGTTGCGGTGAGCCGAGATTGCGCCATTGCACTCCAGCCTGGGTAACAAGAGCGAAACTCTGTCTCAAAAACAAAACAAAAAAAAACCCAAATTGCAATCAGCTAAGTACTGTGATTTAAAAGTTTCATCAGTCCCGCACTACTTAACAGAATAAAAGGATGAACCGTAATACCTGAGCACCATATTAAAAGCTGTTTACAATCCTTGCTTGGAAATCTCTCCAACTTCATCGAAAATTACTCAACCCTCCTACCTACTTCTCTCTCTGGTGACACTAGATTTTGTTATTTCCAGAATGTGCTCTGAACTTGTGCAATTTTATACATGCTGTTCCTCTCATTAGAATGTTACTCTCTTATTCCATAACAAATTGTTTCTCATCTTTCAACATCTCGCCCTCTAGAAAACTGTCCCCAACCCTCTTGTCTCACCCTGAGCAGTTACTTGCTCACCACCCTTTTTTTTATTATTATTTTTTTGAACCAGAGTCTTGCTCGTCACCCAGGCTGACATGCAGTGGCATGATCCTGGCTCACTGCAACCTCCACCTCCCAGGTTCAAGAGATTTTCATGCCTCAGCCTCCCTAGTAGCTGGGATTAAAACCTGGCTAATTTTTATATTTTTAGTAGAGACAGGGTTTCACCGTGTTGGCCAAGCTGGCCTCGAACTCCTGATCTCAAGTAATCCTCCTGCCTTGGCCTCCCAAAGTGCTGGGATTACAGGCATGAGCCACCATGCCCGGCCCACCACCCTCCCTCTACTGCACTTTGTTCCTAGCTGTATTGTGGCATTGGCCAATCTGTTCTAAAAGCTGTCTGGCTCACTCTTTCACATGTCAGCCCTCAACATCTATATCACTCCTTAAGGGGAGCCTTCTTCCACTCCCTATGTCACACTAAGTCCCTAGGTATAGGGCAAAGCATATCAGGCTCTAGCTTCAGAACAGTTAACACTTACATAATTAAATATTTGTTTAGCTTCCCTCCCAACTGTAGGCTCCATCAGGTGAGAGCCATGTTTGTATTATCAACAGCCATCTCCCAGCAGTGTCGGGCACAGATGACGTACACAATTAGCGTCTGTGCATGATTCGACGTTAGGTGTCCCCCACTTCCAAACAGCCAGTACCCTTGACAGCTGGGATTGCCTTGTTCTTTTCCTTTTTCTTTTTTTTTTTAGACGGAGTCTTGCTCTGTCACCCAGGCTGGAGTGCAATGATGTGTTCTGGGATCCTTGCAAGCTCCACCTCCTGGGTTCACGTGATTCTCCTGCCTCAGCCTCCCCAGTAGCTGGGATTACACCTAGCTAATTTTTATATTTTTAGTAGAGACAGCGTTTCACCATATTGGTCAGGCTGGTCTCAAACTCCTGACTTCAAGTGATCTGCCTGGCTCAGCCTCCCAAAGTGCTGGGTTACAGGTGTGAGCCACTGTGCCCGGCCCACGTTATCCATTTCTTTAAATTTAGAAATTTGCACAGCACCAGTTGTACAGAATGCATTAAATAATATTTTTTGAATTAATTAAGGAGTGCTGAAAATAGGTACCAGTGGGAAACTATTGTCAGCGAAAAACAAATAGGAACCTTAAGGCAGAGATGCTCTGGAGGATAAACGGGGCAGATGAGTCCTGTTTTCTTTTTGGAACTTGCCATTCTCAAGCCTCCCTTTACCTCCTTCCCTCTAGTGTCAAGTTAAGGTTGTCTTTCTTCTCCTTCATTCTTCAGACTCGCTGTGGTCCTAACTCAGCTATCATATTCCCTCACTGCCTGGAGGAGTCTCTCTTCTAGTCTGATAATGCTGAAGAAAGTTAATTAATAGTTTGCCTCTCCCACACTGCTGTCTGCACTATCTGCATGTCAGTCGCTGGTTAGGGAACAGGTAAATCATGCAACTCGAGTGAAAGATACTAGTCAAGAGGGCTAAAGTATAAAAGGCAGGAGGTCAGTGAGCTGTCCCCACACAGGAGGCCGGTGAAGCTAAGAGGAGCAGAGAAGACGTCAGGTGTCAGTCCCCAAGCAATTGAGGTAAGAAAGGCATCTGAGAAATGGAAAGGAGGCCAGAGATCTGTCCTCAAGTAAACAGGAGGCTCTAAAGGCTGTCAAGAAGGTCAGAAGAATTGACATGGGGAATGTTTCTGTCATGAGGTTTTGTTGTTTTTTTTTTTTGAGGCAGAGTTTCGCTGTTGTTACCCAGACTGGAGTGCAATGGCACGATCTCAGCTCACCACAACCTCCGCCTTCTGGGTTCAAGCAATTCTCCTACCTCAGCCTCCCGAGTAGCTGGGACTACAGGCATGCACCTCCATACCCAGCTAATTTTTGTATTTTTAGTAGAGATGGGGTTTCACCTTGTTGACCAGGATGGTCTTGATCTCTTGACCTCGTGATCCATCCGCCTGGCCTCCCAAAGTGCTGGGATTACAGGCGTGAGCCACTGCACCCGGCCTACGAGAGGTTTTTTTTGTTTGTTTGTTTTTCTTTTTGAGACGGAGTCTCTCTGTCACCCAGGCTGGAGTGCAGTAGTGCGATCTTGGCTCACTGCACCTTCCCCCTCCCAGGTTCAAGCAATTCTCCTGCCTCAGCCTCCCAGGTAGCTGAGACAACAGGTGCCCACCACCATGCCCAACTAATTTTTATATTTTTAGATAGAGACAGGGTTTCACCATGTTAGCCAGACTGGTCTCAAACTCTTGACCTCAGTTGATTTACACACGTTGGCCTCCCAAAGTGATGGGATTACAGGCATGAGCCACATCACCCAGCCCTGTCATGGGGTTTAAAATGCCCAATATCTTGACATAGCAGCATAGTATCTATCTCATCTAAAAGGTTTGAATCATTAATCGGATTCAGTTATTAGGTCTGTCTCTTGTCATGCTTTAATAAAAATTATTTTTCTTTTGTTCATTAGCACTTTTTTGAAAATTAATTTTTACTGGTAATTAAAATTGCATATATTTATGGTGTACAACATGATGTTTTGAAACATGTGCCCATTGTGAAATTGCTAAATCAAGCTAATGAACCTACATATTATCTTATATACTTATGGTAAGACCACTATTCTCAGGCCGGGCGCGGTGGCTCACGCCTGTAATCCCAGCACTTTGGGAGGCCGAGGCAGGTGGATCACGAGGTCAAGAGATTGAGACCAATCTGGTCAACATGGTGAAAGCCCGTCTCTACTAAAAATACAAAAAATTATCTGGGCATGGTGGTGCGCGCCTATAATCCCAGCTACTCAGGAGGCTGAGGCAGGAGAATTGCCTGAACCCAGGAGGCGGAGGTTGCAGTGAGCCGAGGTCGCGCCATTGCACTCCAGCCTGGGTAACAAGAGCGAAACTCCGTCTCAGAAAAAAAACAAACAACAACAAAAAAACCCTATTCTCTTAGCAGTGTTTGCATATACAATACATTGCTATTAACTATAGTCACTACGTTGCATAATAGATCTCTTGAACTTAATTCCTCCTAAGTAAAATGTTTATCCTTTGACCCCTTCTAACTTTTAGTCTTTTCCGTTTGTTCAGATCTACAGAACTGCATTTGCTTTTTATGTCTGCTGCTATAATACTTAATGCTAAATGAGAAATAATTTTTTTTTTTCTGAGATGGCGTCTCACTCTGTTGCCTAGACTGGAGTGTAGTGGCACCATCTCAGCATACTGCAACCTCCACTTCCCGGGTTCAAGCGATTCTCATGCCTCAGCCTCCCAAGTAGCTGGATTACAGGCATCTGCCACCACACTCAGCTAATTTTTGTATTTTTAGTAGGGATAGGGTTTCACCATGTTGGTCAGGCTGGTCTCAAACTCCTGACCTTAGGTGATCCACCCACGTTGGCCTCCCAAAGTGCTGGGATTACAGGCGTGAGCCACTGTGCCTGGCTAAAAATAATAAATTTTATACTGACAACTTAAATGACATACCCAAAGAGGACAACTTGGATTGAAACAAAAAAACTTCTATAGAAAACAACAGTTTTTGCCAGTTATTTGACAGATTCTGAATACCAATTTCAAAAACTTGGAAAATATCAAAGGAGAATCTATTACAGATAGAAGATGGCGATATTTGGTTTTGCTTGGTTTGGAAGTCATTCTGCTAAGGCACTAAATCAATGCGCGATACTTAAAATCCAAACCCAACTCCTTTTTGTACAATGGTTCCACTTCCTCAAATATATAAATGTCCATATTTTAGATTCTTGTTAATGGAAAGCTTTCCTCCAGGCTCAAGTAGACAACATGTTTGCATCACTTACTGGTTTTATACTGTGAGTAATGAGCCACACCATAAAGATTCTTGAACTCACTTGGACCCCAGTCACAAGCACAGAAGTAGGTACAATTCCTTAAAAAGAAAAACAAGTCAACTATTGCCCTAAAGGCAATTTATAATAAAAGTATAAAATTAAAGCAAAAACTCACCAATTAAACAGTGAATTATCTGTAAGCAAATAAAAAAAAACATTATGTCAGTAATAGAAAACATTAAGCAAACCACTGTCAACATTGGTATTACGCAAATCCATAGGTGGTATGTAACCAGCAAAATCATATTGATTTTGCACAACAAAAAAATGTTCACATAAATATTACAGTAATAGAAACACAGCATGATGGAAAACTTACCTCAAGCAAGGCAAATGTCTGGAAAAATTTAAGGGTCTTCTGAATACTTTTATATAAACCTCTGTGTGTTCCTTTTTCCATATAAAAGCGTACCATGGCAATAGCTAGAACCAACCACCTAGAAAAAACAAAAGTATTTTATAAAGTTCTTTCAAACTAACACTGATTTATGTGTTTACAGCAGCATTATTCAAAATAGTGAAAAGGTGAAAGCACCCAAGTCTCCATCAGTGACTGAATGGATACATGAAATGGGGTCTATACAGATAATGAAATATTAGCCTTAAAAGGGAAAGAAATTCTGGCCAGGCACGGTGGCTCACACCTGTAATCCCAGCACTTTGCGAGGCTGAGGTGGAGGGATCACAAGGTCCGGAGTTCAAGACCAGCCTGACCAAACACAGTGAAACTGCATCTCTACTAAAAATAAAAAAATTAGCCGGGTGTGGTGATGCACATCTGTAATCCCAGCTACTCAGGAGGCTGAGGCAGGAGAATCACTTGAACCTGGGTGGTGGAGGTTGCAGTGAGCCGAGATCACACTATTGCACTCCAGCCTGGGTGACAGAGTGAGACTCCATCTCAAAAACAAACAAAAAAAAAAAAAAGGAAAGAAATTCTGACATACCATGCAGCATGGATAAACCTTGAATACCTTAGGCGATGTGAAATAAGCTAGGTAAAAAGGACTAATGCTGTATGATCTTTTCTTTCTTAAAAAAAAAAATTTTTTTTTGCATAATGTGTTGCGGTCATCTTTAACAAATAAGAAGTATTGATTGATTGATTGATTGATTGATGGCGACAAGGTCTCACACTGTCACCCAGGCTGGAGTGCTGTGGCACAATCTTGGCTCACTGCTGCCTTTACATCCTAGGCTCAAGCGATCCTCCCATCTCAGCCTTCCCTATAGCTGGGACTACAGGCATGCGCCATCACATCTAACTAATTTTTGCATCTTTTTTATAGATACGGAGTTTTGCTGTGTTGCCTAGGCTGGTTTCAAACTCCTAGACTCAAGTGATCCATCCACCTCAGCCTCCCAAAGTGCTAAGTTTACTTGGTGTGAGCCACCATGCCCGGCCTGTATGATTTAGTTGATATGAGGTATACCTAAGGTAGTCAAATTCACAGAGACAGAAAGTTGGATAGTGGTGGCTAGGGGCTGGGGGCAGAGAGGGCAGTGAGGAGTTAGTGTTCACTGGGTGCAGAGTTTCAGTTTTGCAAGATGAAAAGTTATAGAGACGGAAGTAATTGTTACACAAAAATGTGAATGTACTTGATGACACTGAACTGTACACTTTAAAAAGTTTAAGATGGGCCAGGCACAGTGGCTCCTGGCTATAATCCCAGCACTTTGGGAGGCTAAGGTGGGCAGATCGCCTGAGGCCAGGAGTTCTAGTCCAGTCTGGCCAACACAGGGAAACCCTGTCTCTATTAAAAATACAAGAATTAGCTGGATGTGGTGGCACATGCCTGCAGTCTCAGCTACTTGGGAGGCAGGAGAATCGCTCCAACCCAGGAGGCGGAGAGCCGAGATCACACCACTGCACTCCAGCCTGGGTGACAAAACGACACTCCATCTTGAAAAAATAAAATAAATAAATATATATATAATAAAATAATAAAAAGGCTGAGATGGTAAATGTTTTGAGTGTTTTACTACAATTTTAAAAAAACACCAACTAAACTTCCTGAAAAGAGATTTTATAGTAATTTATATAGTAATACATATGTTCTATTATATAATAATATGTATGTTCCATTATACTCAGTTCATTATTGTTTTTTAAAATTCTACAGGAAAAAAAATGACAAAATGACTTTTATTGTTTTTCATTTTTTTTAAGACAGGATCTTACTCTGTTGCCCATGCTGGAGTGCAGTGGCATAATCATAGCTCACTGCAGCCTCAAACTTCTGGGCTCAGGCAATCCTCTAGCTTTAATTTTAATTTTTTGTAGAGACCAAGGCTTACTATGTTGCCCAGGCTGTTCTTGAATTTCTGGTTTCAAGTGATCCTCCTGCCTCAGCCTCCCAAAGTGCTGGGATTATAGGCGTAAGCCACCACACCTGACCACAATGGTATTTTTACATTGACTCTCTGAGAGAAGGCAAAGAACACAGATAAGACCAACTACATAGAAAACAATGTCCAGGAAATATTTGGCTTCAGCAAATAAACTGACAGACTGAAGAAATTAGCTTTATGTACTAAAAACAAGAATATCAAAAAGCATCTAATGATTACTATAGCGGTATCTTGGAGTAAAAAGCTGTCAAAGCTGTGTGTGTATAAACATGTATTTTACACAAGTACATAGTATATAATTACAAGTAGACACAATAAGTATATATAAGTAGAACTCTTTATAAGAGTCATCAATTAGGCCAGGCGCGGTAGCTCACGCCTGTAATCTTAGCACTTTGGGAGACAGAGGTGGGTGGGTGGATCACCTGAGGTCAGGTGTTGAGACCAGCCTGGCCAACACGATGAAACCCCATCTCTACCAAATATACAAAAATTAGCCATGTGTGGTGGTGGACACCTGTAGTCCCAGATACTTGGGAGGCTGAGGCAGGAGAATCATTTGAACCCAGGAGGCGGAGTTTGCAGTGAGCTGAGATGGCACCACTGCACTCCGGCCTGGGTGACAGAGCAAGACTCTGTCTTTAAAAAAAAAGAAGAAGAGGCCAGGTGCGGTGGCTCATGCCTATAATCCCAGCACTTTGGGAGGCCGAGGCGGGTGGATCACGAGGTCAAGAGATCAAGACCATCCTGGTCAACATGGTGAAACCCCATCTCTACTAAAAATACAAAAAATTAGCTGGGCATGGTGGCGCGTAGTCCCAGTTACTTGGGAGGCTGAGGCAGGAGAATCATTTGAACCCAGGAGGCAGAGGTTGCAGTGAGCCGAGATCGCGCCATTGCACGTCAGCCTGGGTAACAAGAGCGAAACTCCGTCTCAAAAAAACAAAAAGAAAAAGCAGCCTGGGAAACATGGCAAGATCCTGTCTCTACAACAACAACAACAAAAATGTAGAGGCATGGTGGCACGTGCCTGTGTTTCCCGCTACTTGGAAGGCAGAGGTGGGAGGATCACTTGAGCACAGGGGTCTGGTTGCAGTAAGCCATGTTTGTGCCACTGTAGTCCAGCCTATGCAACAGAGACCCTGTCTCAAAAGAAAAAAAAAAAAGAAGAAAAAAGGAAAGAAAAAAATACGATATGCCATCAGTTTTAAACTTACATCTACATATTAAATATAGCTTATGTTCTGTGAATTAATGGTACTTTAAATAGAAGCTAGAGTTGTGGAGACCAACTTCTTCATTCTACTTGTTACTCTTCCTAAAGTGACCAATGAGAAGTTACTCTTTTTCCAGTTTTCCTTGCAATTACAAAAGCACGTTTAAGAAACTTGCCTCATCTGCAGCTTTCTAAAAGCTCTAAAAACTCACCCAGCAAAATATGAGCTACCCTAGTCTTTTAGATAGTCTCCAGAGTCTAGTAAGTGGATTTATAAAACATAAAATTATCATGCAGTTTTAATTTTTTTAACCAAACAGTACTCATAGAGTGGATAAATGGCTTGAAAAGATTCCTGCAAAGAATCTACTAACTTATGATGAAAACACATGCTCAAGAGAGTAACAAGATGGCCGAATGACACTTCTATTCCTAGAACATAATAAGGTAAAAGCAATGCTTATCAGATTGGCAATAAGTCAAGTAAATATTTGCAGCGACCACAAGGACCTTTGAAATGCAGACATATTCATGATAATAACAATGACAATAGTAAGTGTACTGTCAGAGTGCTTTCTGTGTCGCCAACAGTGTTTTCAATGTGTAACACATTAACCTCAAATCCCCACAGTAACCCTATGAGGCAAGGTCTTTTATTATCCTATTTCACTATTGAGGCAATAGAGAGGGCCACAAAGCCACCACTAAGCTCAGGGTATATGCTCTTAAGCTACTACTATGCTCTATCGGTCTGGCTCGAAGTGTATATACTACACCCTAAGATACTAGCTAATCATAGCAATTCATATTTACATTATAAATATATTTTTAAAGTTACATGGAGAGTGCGCTCAAATATTTTAATTGATAGTAGCGTACTATCCAAAAAGTTTGAAGGCTATCTTCCAGAGACATTCAGTTACTTACCCTGAGTCTTAGAGTAAGTTAATGATTGAGTCTGAAATAGAACCTTTGCAGTCCCTAGACCCCCTAGTCCTGACCCCTTTCCACTCTGCCCCAGCTTCACTGTGGCTGTAACTGATGGATTCATCTCATGTGAGAGCCAACCCTGAATTCAGTGCTGGACTGATCCTACAGCACTATTTTTGAATCATCCTTTATGTACCTTCCATACCTAAAGTGTTATAACTTCATTATCTTCACTTCCAAGTCCCCATATTTCTTCTAAGAAAACAAAGAGTTTATTAAGAGATTTTCATGCACATTTTCCATACACTTGTCTTTTTTAGGAAAACCCAAATCAGATGTCCACAAAAAATAAGTCTGAGATGCAATTATTAACGTACTAATCAAAGGAGTCATTTGAATGGGACTGTTTTACATTTTTAAACAGCATTGTGTAAAAATCCATGCGTTAATATTATAACAAGTTATACTATTGTTCCATAGGTGGCAGTATTGTACCACCTAGTATAGTATAATGAGCATGCCACTCACTAAACTGTGGGAAATAAATGAAATTGTCATGCTCAGGGGTTTGAAAGGACCATCTCAAACCATCTATTCTAACCTCTTGTCTGTTTTTCTATAAATAAGGCCAGGAGTCAACTGAATCAGGGTTCACTTCCTAAACCCTCCATCACAAGGGGTGACAATCAAAGTCTCTCTAAGGCCCTATATTGAACTACTTCTGAACTTTGTTCATCTACCAGTTTAGTAACTATAATACGAACAGAAAATATTTCGAAAGCAATTGGAATTTCTGCAATTAGAATAAGTGTGTGTGTGTGTGTGTGTGTGTTTTTGAGACAGATTCTCTCTGTCCCCAAGGCTGGAGTGCAGTGGTGTGCCCATGGCTCATGGCCGCCTTGAGTTCCCAGGCTTCAGCAATCTTCCCACCTCAGCTTCCCAAATAGCTGGGACCGCAAGGGTGTACCACCACACCTGGCTCATTATTGTTCTTGCTGTTGTGGGGTTTTCTTTGGTAGAGGTGGGGTCTCCCTATGTTGCCCAGCCTAATTTTGAACTCCTGGACTCAAACCATCTGCCTGCTTCAGTCTCCCAAAATAACGGGATTACAGGTGTAAGTCACTGCACCTGGCCAGACTCTTTTGTGATGCTAGCAGTTACTGATGATATTGCCTAGATCCATTATCTCAATAGTTATTGAAAAACAATATTCTAACTTGCTATTTCTTTTATTTACCTTTTTTAGCCATTCGGAGGCTTGTACCAAAGACAGTCAACTTTCATATACACTCCATACTTTCTTTTCATTTGTTTGTTTTTGTTTTTGAGATGGAGTCTCGATCTCTTGCCCAGTCTGATGTGATCTTGGCTCACTACAACCTACACCTCCCAGGTTCCAGTGATTCTCATGCCTCAACCTCCCAAGTGGCTGGGATTATAGATGCCCGCCACCACACCCAGCTAATTTTTGTATATTTAGGAGAGACAGAGTTTCACCATTTTGGTCAGGCTGGTCTTGAACTCCTGACCTTAAGTGATCTGCCTGCCTCACTCAGCCTCCCAAAGTGCTGAGATATCCAATTTCTGAAATCTAAGTTGGCTTTCAAGATGGAGAGTCAACTGAAAAGAGAAGGGGCAGATACCCATTTAATGCAACGCAGATATTTCAAAATGTTTACTGGCTGGGCACGATGGCTCACACCTGTCCCAGCACTTTCGAAAGCCAACGTGGGAGGATCACTTAAGAACAGCCTGGGCAATATGGCAAAACCCTGTCTTCACAAAAATTATTATTATTTTATTTTTTGGGAGTGAGACAGAGTCTTGCTCTGTTATCCAGACTGGAGTGTAGTGGCACATCTCTCAGCCTCCTGGGTTCAAGCAAGTCTCCTGCCTCAGTCTTCCAAGTAGCTGAGATTACAGGCGTGTGCCACCACGCCCAGCTAATTTTTGTATTTTTAATAAAGACACAGTTTTGCCATGTTGGCCAGGCTGGTCTCGAACTCCTGACCTCAAGCAATCCACCCACCTCGGCCTCCCAGAGTGCTGGGATTACAGGCGTTAGCCACTGTGCTCGGTCTACTCTACAAAAAAAATGTTTTTAATTAACTGGACATGGTGGTTTGCCCCTGGTAGTCCCAGCTACTCAGGAGGCTGAGGTGAGAGGATCACCTTGAGCTCAGAGTTTGGGGCTACAGTAAGCACCACTGCACTCCAGCCTGGGAAACAGAGCAAGACCTTGCCCTAAAAAAAAAAAAAAAAAAAAAAAGAAAAGAAAAGGGAAGGTTTATTCTATTTATTTATTTATAGACAGACTTTCACTCTTGTTGCCCAGGCTGGAGTGTAATGTCATGATCTTGGCTCACTGCAACCTCTGCCTCCCAGGTTCAAGTGATTCTCCTGCCTCAGCCTCCAGAGTAGCTGTGATTACAGGTGCCCACCTCCACGCCCAGCTAATTTTGTATTTTTTTAGGAGAGACAGGGTTTCACCATGTTGGTCAGGCTGGTCTTGAATTCCTAACCTCAGGTGATCCACCCACCTCGGGATCCCAAAGCTCTGGGATTACAGGCGTGAGCTACGGCACCCGACCAGGAAAAGTTTATTAAGTAGTCTATCAGAGGAGAGAGAATTCTTTCAGCTCTGAACGCATTTAAATTCAGCATCATTTGGTGATTACTGAATTGTTCTCCAGTTGTAAATACATTAGTTTTCTCTCTTTCCAAGATTATAATTTAGGAAAAAAGAAAGATTAAGTATCAGGACAGTAGAGTCAGAGAATCTGGGTTGAAACCCATGCCTGACACTTGCTGTCTGTGACCTTGAGCAAGTGTCCGTGCCTCACTTTCCTAATCTATGAAATGTCGTTATCATGTGCCCCTAACAGGACTTTAAAGGACTAAAAATACATCTAAAATAACCAACACAGTCCCCTGCATAGTAAATCCTCAATATTTGCATGAACTGTATTTGATACTCAGTATCATAGGCTGAGCATATAACAGAAACTCAATCCCCCTAGGTAAAGATTTATTAAATCTTTGTCAATCATATTTTTCTATTAACCCTGAAGAAAGTTTAAAATACTAGTCCGGGTGTGGTAATTACAGCACTTTAAGAGGCCAGAGTGGGAAGACTGCTTGAGGCCAGGAGTTTGAGACCAGCCTGGCCAATGCAGTGAGACCCAATCTCTATTTTTAAAAAATTAAAATAAAATATTAGGCCCGGCGCGTGGCTCACGCCTGTAATCCCAGCACTTTGGGAGGCCAAGGTGGGCATATCATCTGAGGTCAGGAGTTCGAGACCATCCTGGCCAACATGGTGATAGATACCCTGTCTCTACCAAAAATACAAAAATTCGCAGGGCATGGTGGCCGACGCCTGTAAGCCCAGCTACTCCGGAGGCCGAGGCAGGAGAATCGCTTGAACTCGGGAGGCGGAGGTTGCAGTGAGCGGAGATGGTGCCACTGTACTCCCGCCTGGGTGACAGAGACTCCGTCTAAAATATAAAATAAAATATTAAACGTTTCCTCGCATTTATGTAAGTTAATACTTCGAATGATAATGGAAAAATAACTTTTTTAAAAGGCAGTGCAATTTAGAAATGGTAAAGCAGTTTCCCAACAGGTTTTGAGAAGCAGCTGACAGAGAAGTCACTTTGACAGCTCTGCGAAGAGTGACAGTCATTGTGTAACCTTAACTTGCAAAGTCACACTTCAAAGCCAGAAATCAAAGTCCAGGGTATCAGCCACGGAATCTGAGGCCATAAAGATGCTGGGCAAGAGCTCCAGGCTCGGATAAGGGGGGTGGTTATTTCAAAATCGTCCCAAGTGACAAGCTCTAGGACGTGCTATGCTTTAAAAAAAATAGTAATAAGTCGCCGTGAAATTAGCAAGAGAGAAAACTCTGCCCAGCGATCGCAGCAGGAGGCTCCGCGCTCTCCAGACCACGGCGTGGCCAGGCCCGGCGTTCCTTCAACGGCAGCAGATGCAGCGGCGCCCCGGCCGCAGGCGCCTCCCTCGCGGTCCGGCCCCGCATTCCTGCCAGGGTCTATACTTAACCTCCGGCCCGCGCCCCGCAGTGCACCGTATTAGGCAATGCCCGGCGCGCAGGGCCCGGCCCCCCCCCGCCCGCTCCATTCAACCCCGGCGGTGGCCGTGGCGACAACTCCCCTCCCCCACGGCCGCCGCCCGCGCCCCCGCCACCCCGGCCAGCTCCCCCCGAGCCTGGAACCTCCGCGGACCGCGGCGCGGGGAGGGCCCGAGGGCGCCCCGCGGCGCGCGTACCCCGCAGTCATGGCGATGTTGTAGAAGGTGAGCCAGGTGGTGGCCAACCAGCCCAGGCGCCTCCGCTTTCCGGGGGCCTCCCGGTCCTCGCCGGCCTCCGAGGTGCCGCCGTTGGTGCCGTCCTCGTCGCTGGACGCCATGGTGGCCGCGCACCCGGGGGACGTGGGAGAGAGCGGCAGGAGCGTGGGAGGGGGCCCTGCCCAGCGCGCAGCCTGAGCGCCGACGCCCGCTTCCGCCGCCTCAGTCAGGCGCCCCATGTGCCGCGCGCTGGGGGCTCGGCACCGACAGCCCGGCCGACCGCGAGGGGGAGGAGCGGACGCCCCCGGCCACTGCCTGCCTGCCCCGCCCCTGCCCTTGACCCCGCCCAGGCCGCCGTCAGCCCCGCCCCTTGAGAACGCGCCACTCGGGGGCTAGAACCCACGGCCCCGGCACTGGGGATCCGGGACCCGCGAGCCCAGCTTTCCAGGCGGCGCTATCGTTCCGGCTCCCGTGAAAAGTGAACCCTCCTTCCTCGCTAGCTGAGTGGGAGGGCCTCTGCCTAGAGAGGCGCCCAGACGCCTTGCGCCCTGGCGATGTGTTCCCTTCGAGTGCATCTAGTGGGGACGCAGGGAACGCACCTGAACTTGGCGTGGCTCTGCCTCGCTTGGCCTTTTGTAAGGCGGTTTGTCGATGTGTAGGCAGGGAGCGGGATCTTCTCGCCAAACATTCATTCTTTTCTTGTCTCTTTTCTTTCTTTTTTATTTTTCCTTCCTTTTCTTTTCCTTTCCTTTTTAGAGACAGGGTCTCTGTCTCCTAGGCTGGAGGGCAGTGAAGCGATCACAACTCACTGCAATTTCCTGTGCTAAAGCGATCCTCCCACCTCCGCCTCCCAAAGTGCGGGGAATACAAGCGAGAGCCACAGCGCTGGGCCAAACATTCATTCTTAAGAGCTTCTGGGAAGAAACGCCCATTTCGCCCTGTTTCCCTTTTACCAGCCAGTCCAACAGGTAGAAGGGGATTACAGTGAGAAGACCATCGCACTTGTGTGATTTCTTTCTCTTTTTAAGTTAAGACAGAGTTTGGAGTGCAGTGGTGCGATCTCGGTTCACTGCAACCTCTGCCTTTCGAGTTCAAGAGATTCTCCTGCCTCAGCCTCCCAAGTAGTTGGAACTACAGTCATGCACAACCACGCCCGGCTAATTTTTGTATTTTTAGTGGAGACAGTTTCACCATGTTTGCCAGGCTGGTCTCGAACTTCTGGCCTTAAGTAGTGACCACCTGCCTTGGCTGCCTAAAGTACTGGGATTACAGGCGTGAGCCACCACACCTGGCCCTACTTGTGTGTGTGTGTGTGTGTGTGTGTGTGTGTGTGTATCTACCAAGTCCACCGATTGAAAGGGTAATGTTGTCAATTCAGCGCAGAAGGTTGGTTGTCTTAGGGGAGCTGGAGAAAAAAAGGACATGACAAGCAAAGGGTAGCAAACAAGAAACGTTTGTACAGATACAGGCAACCTAGCCACTGGGCCAACAGAACTCTTTCCAGGCAAAGAAGATAGAATTCCACTGTTTTCTACTTTCTCTCCTGTCAATGCTCATGCTTTCCCCTCTTAACACTTTACTCTGTCCCCTTAAAGCATGCAGTTAAGAAGACAGGCACTGGAGTCAATTACTGAAATCCAAACCCCAAATTCCTGACTCCTCCCGTCTTATTAGCTGTATGGACTTGGGCAACTAACCTCTCCATGCCTCAGTTTTCTTAGTGGAAATGATTTTTTTTTTTAAGTGAGCCAAAATTCCACTATAGCCTGGGGACAGAGCAGTAAATACTGAAATGCAGAATGACTTAGTAACATCGTAAGTGTATGTCTAACTTTTTAAGAAACCACACTGTTTTCTAATTTTTTAAAGAGATTTAAAATTTTTTCATGATTTCTTTCATGGGGTAGATGACCTGGATAATCCATTCAAAACCTAGTAATTAAAGAAAGCAATTAATTCACCACAAAATTCAGCAACAGGCTGGGTGTGGTGCCTCATGCCTATAATCCCAGCACTTTGGGAGGCTAAGGAGGCCTTGAGGTCAGGAGTTCAAGGCCTGGATAATCCATTCAAGGAAGTTCACTTAGTCCAACTTAATGAAACCTATATCCTTTGTGTACTGATGGAAACACTGGGGCACATATTGAGGTTGTACTTCCGGGTAACACCATGCTGTTTTGAGCAAGAACCCTGGCCAATTTCACAGGTGGCTCTAGTATAGCTGCTGGGGACCCATCTTGCCCTTAGGAGTAAGAAGTGAAAGGAAGGAGCTAGCGCACACATGCACTTTTCAAAATTTTCCAGTTTTTCTAAGTGGTTGCACCATTTTACATTTCCATCATCCATGCAGGAGAGTGTCAGATGCTCCACATCCTAGCCAACATTTGGTATAGTCAGTCTTCGAAATTTTAGACATTCTAATAGATGTATTATTTCATTGTGGTTTTAATGTTCACTTCCCTAATGACTAATTATGTTGTTGCTTTACGTGTGCTTGTCAGTTGTATATTTTCCTTACTATAGTTACTGTTCAAATCTGTTGCCCAGTTTTTTTTTTCCTTTCAAGACAGGGTCTCGCTCTGTCACCCAGGCTGGAGTGCAGTGGCCCGAACTCAGGTCACTGCAACCTCCACCTTCCAGGTTCAGGCAATTCTCGTGTCTCAGCCTCGCAAGTAGTTGAGATTACAGGTGCAAGCCACTATGCCCAGCGAATTTTTGTAGTTTTTAGTAGAGATGGGGTTTTGCCACGTTGATCAGGCTGGTCTTGAACTCCTAACCTCAAAGCCTCCTTGGCCTCCCAAAGTGCTGGGATCTTAGGCATGAGCCACCACACCCAGCCTCTTGCTGAATTTTGTGAATTAATTGCTTTCTTTAATTACTAGATTTTGAGACTACTATATATTTTCTAGATAAAAATCCTTTATCAGAGATATGATTTGCAAATATTTCTTCCCAGTTCATGGGAGAATTTTTATTTATTTTTTTGAGAGACAGAGTCTCGCTGTGTTGCCAAGATCAGTTTTGAACTCCTGTGTTCAAGCAATCCTCCTACTAAAGTGCTGTGATTACAGGCATGAGCCAGTAGGATGATTTTGTTGACAGTACCTTTCAAAGAGCAGAAGTTATTAATTTTTTTTTAATTGAGATGGAGTTTCGCTCTTGTTACCCAGTGCAATGGGGCGATCTTGGCTCACCTCAACCTCTGCCTCCTGGGTCAGGCAATTCTCCTGCCTCAGCCTCCTGAGTAGCTGGGATTACAGGCACACGCCACCATGCCCCGCTAATTTTTTGTATTTTTAGTAGAGATGGGGTTTCACCATGTTGATGAGGATGGTCTCGATCTCTTCACCTCGTGATCCACCCTCCCCGGCCTCCCAAAGTGCTGGGATTACAGGCTTGAGCCACCGCGCCCAGCTACAGTATGCATTTTTAACTTACCATAGCTTACTTGCAAATATTTATAACACTGCCTGTATAATGTAAGAATTCTTCCAGTACTATATTTCTATTTGTCTTCTCCCATCTTTTATGGTATTATTTTGATATATTTTACTTCTGCCTATGCTATCAACCCCATAATACAATTATTATTATTTTCTTGAGACGGAGTTTCACTGTTGTTACCCAGGCTGGAGTGCAATGGCAGGATCTCGGCTCACCGCAACCTCCGCCTCCTGGGTTCAAGCAATTCTCCTGCCTCAGCCTCCCGAGTAGCTGGGACTACAGGTGTGCGCCACCACGCCCAGCTAATTTTTGTATTTTTAGTAGAGACCGGGTTTCACCTTGTTGACCAGGATGGTCTCGATCTCTTGCCCTCGTGATCCCCCCGCCTCAGCCACCCAAAGCGCTGGGATTATAGGCGTGAGCCATCGCGCCCGGCCAATTATTTTTGTTTTTAAAGGCATTTTACAATGAGAAGGACGTGTCTTTAATATTTACTCTCACGTGACCATTCAGATTCTCTTCATTCCTTTTGTTAGCTTCAAATCTCCAAGTGATACTGTATTTCTATTGCCTGAAGAATTTTCAATTTTTGTTTGTTTGAACATTTCTTATTGTGTAGGTTTTGCTGATGATGAGTTCTTTCAGCATTTTTTGTACACACAGTTGTCCCTTGTATCTTCAGGGGGATGGCTCCAGGACCCCCATGAAGATACCCAAATCCACAGATGCTCAAGCCCTTTATTTCAACTTCATTTTGAAAAAGATTTTTGCCGCTATAGAAGTCTACATTGATAATATTTAAATTTTCAGACTTTAAAGGTACTATCCATTATCTTTTTTAAAAATTTGCAGTTTTATTAGGCGTATGCTGTAATTCTTATCTATTCCTCTGTTTTCTGGATGCTTCTCTTTTCTCTTTTTCTTTTCTTTCTTTTTTTTTTTTTGAGACAGAATCTTGCTCTGTAGCCAGGCACCAGGCTGAAGTTCAGTGGCGCGATCTCGGCTCACTGCAACCTCCGTCTCCCGGGTTCAAGCAATTCTTCTGCCTCAGCCTCCCGGGTAGCTGGGACTACAGGCGCGCGCCACCATGCCCAGCTAATATTTTTTATTTTTTGTATTTTTAGTAGAGATGGGGTTTCACCATGTTGACCAGGATGGTCTCATCTCTTGACCTCGTGATCCACCCGCCTCGGCCTCCCAAAGTGCTGGGATTACAGGCTTGAGCCACCGCGCCCGGCTTGCTTTTAAGATTTTATCTTTATCACTGATTTTCAGTAATTTGATCATGCTGCGCTTAAGTGTCATTTTTGTTTTTTATTATGATTGGGGTTCACTTACAATCTCCGATTTGTAAGAATATAGTTTTCATTAAATTTCAGAAAATTTGGGTATCATTTTTAAACATATTTTTCTCCCCACTCCTCTTTTCCACCTCCCGTGGAACTCTAATTGCCCATATGCTATACTGCTTTTTTTTTTCTATAGGTAATTGAGATTTTGTTGATTTTTCTTTTCAGTCTTTTTCTTCTATGTGCTTCAATTTTGTATAGTTCTGTTGCTGTGTCTTCAGGTTCACATTTTTTCTATTGCAGTGTCTAATCTCCCATTAATTCTATCTAGTGGAAGTTTTATATCAGATAGTGTAATTTTAACCTCTAGAATTCCCATTCGCTTCTTTTTTGATGCCTTTTATTTCTCTCCATGTTATATCATATTGATCACAGAACTCTTTCAACATTCTTACGTTAATTCAATCATTTCTTTAATTTCTGGGTCTGTTTCTATGGACAGATTGCTCTACTGGTTATCAGCCACATTTTTCTGCCCCTTTATGTGTTCAGTAATATTTTATTGGAGTCTGACTATTGAAGATTTTTATATTTTTTAGTGCCATAAATATATGCATTCTTGTTAAGAGTTTCATACTGTTTTGCCCCTAATTTATGTTGCCCAGCCTACCTTTCAAAAGTTACTATTTAAGCTTTTTTTTTTTTTAAACGGAGTTTCGCTCTTGTTACCCAGGCTGGAGTGCAATGGCACGATCTTGGCTCACCGCAACCTCCACCTCCTGGGTTCAAGCAATTTTCCTACCTCAGCCTCCCAAGTAGCTGGGACTACAGGCATGCACCACCATGCCCAGCTAATTTTTGTATTTTTAGTAGAGACGGGGTTTCACCTTGTTGACCAGGATGGTCTCGATCTCTTGACCTCGTGATCCCCCTGCCTTGGCCTCCCAAAGTGCTGGGATTATAGGTGTGAGCCACCGCGCCCAGCCCTACTATTTAAGCTTTTTTAGAGCAATGGTAGAGGTGGACTTCCTTCTCAAGCCACTCCCCACTACTAAGACATTACCCGTTTGGGGTATTTACTTAACACTGAGTGTATTCAAATAATTGTCGTTCCTCTGGCTTTCAGAACTGAAATGATTCCTCGATTTGTATGAACTCTTGGGATTTTTCAGATTTGGCTTCCCTGGTAACAGTTCTTTGCTTAAAAGTGCTTTGCCCAGACCTGTAGAGCTTTACCCTACCCATGACTAGATTAGCATTCAAAGGCCCAAGGGGAACCCCTGTGCAGATTTCTAAAGCTCTTCTCTGCATAGCACCCTCCTAATATATTGTCCTCTAAATTCTAGTCTCTTGGCTTCCTCAAACTTTGATTTTTAGTATATGTGCTGCCAAAGCGAGCACTCAACTTTGATATTTATCTCTTCAATACAATAAAACCTTTGGGTTCAAGTCCCACATCCCACACCACAGCCTAGAAGCTGATTCCAGGCAGAAAGCTGTTGCAGTCATTGGGTTCATTGCATATGCTTCCTTTCTTCTTGAAATCATAGTCCAGTGCTGCCTGTTCTTCCATGTTTTAAATCATTCCATATATTTTGTCCAGTGTTCTATTTGCTTTTTGTAAAAAGGTTAAGTCTTGATCCTGTTACTCTCTCATGGCCAGTAATAGAAATTTGCCATTTTAGTCATAATAAATTGTATTTATTTACTGCATTTAATAAACATTTATGGAATACCTACTGTGAAGAGCCCAGAAATAGAGAAAAAGGATTCTTAGACTAATGCTTATATAAACAATTACAAAGTTACAATATTGTGGTAGCTTTTAAGAATGACCCCAAAATTCTTTGATACTCTTTCCACCAAGAGATAAATTGTTTCCTCTTCCCCTGAGTGTGGATCCCGTGACTGTCTGTCCAATAGAATATGACTGAAAGGATGGTGTGCTCACTTCCTAGCCCAGGTCTTAAGAAACTGGCAGTTTCCTGACTCTTGCAGTGCTCAATCATATGGCCATCCAACACGCTGAGAGGAACCAAGCAGATAAACAGGAGCTCCCCCATGTAGTTGTTCTAGTTGATAATCCCAATGACTCAGCCAACTGCTTAGGACCAACTGCCAGACATATAACTGAGCAAACTTTCAAACGATTGTAGTTCTGGCTCTAGTCATTCCAGCCTCTGAGCTACCCCTGCCAATGCTGTGTGGTCCCCGCTAAGTTCTAATCAAATTTGTTTCTAAGCAAAATAAATGATTGTTGTTGCCCTAAGATGCTACATTTGAGAGGGTTTTATGAATAGACAGCTGTAACATATTTTACCATTAAGTGCTATAATAGAGGTGGTCAATTAACCAATGAATTAACAAATATTTATTTTGTCCCTATTACTGATCAGGTACCGAGTCAGGAAAGGCTTTTAAGAAGCGAAATCTAAGTGGAAGTTTAGAGGAGGTCTAGGACCTAAATAGAATAAGAGCAGGAAAAAGCAGAAAGAGTTGCTCGTTTGAAGATATAAAAAGCATGGGGGCGAGTTCCAGTAGTTCAGAAAGACTAAAGTAGAGGGTATGAGAAAAAAAAAACTGTGAAGAGATGAGTTGCTGAAAGGCCAGTTCATTAAGGGAGTAATGCTGAAGAATGGGGGTTGACTCCTGCAGGTAAGGCTGTTCTTGCACACTTGTAATCATGCAATTAATTTAATTTTTTACTTAGTGATATATTCCCCATAAGCTGTACTCCAAAAAGGCTAAATCACACAGAGCTTTTATCCCTATAATTCCAGCATCTAAAATGTTACCTGACACACATGGGGGTTAATAAATCTTTACTGAATGACGTGTAACTGAAGAAACCGTATAAGAATTTTAAGGGGGCCGGGCGCGGTGGCTCAAGCCTGTAATCCCAGCACTTTGGGAGGCCGAGGCGGGTGGATCACGAGGTCAAGAGATCAAGACCATCCTGGTCAACAAGGTGAAACTCCGTCTCTACTAAAAATACAAAAAATTAGCTGGGCATGGTGGCGCGTGCCTGTAATCCCAGCTACTCAGGAGGCTGAGGCAGGAGAATTGCCTGAACCCAGGAGGTGGAGGTTGCAGTGAGCCGAGGTCGCGCCATTGCACTCCAGCCTGGGTAACAAAAGTGAAACTCTGTCTCAGAAAAAAAAAAAAGAATTTTAAGGGAATGATATATAATCAGCTTTGTGTGTTAGAAAAATCATTCTGGCAGTAGTGCAGAGAATGGTTTAGAGATAATAGCTGTATGAGCCAGCTTGGGCCGCCATAACAAAATACCAGAGTGAGTGCCTTTTACAACAGAAATTAATTTTCTCATCATTCTAAAGGTTGGAAGTCAGATCGGGGTACTAGCATGGGTGGGTTCTGATGATGGCTCTTTTACTGGACTGCAGATAGCTGCCTTCTCACTGTATTCTCACATGGCAGAGAGGCAGAGACAGCAAGCAATCCAGTGTCCTTCTTATAAGGGCACTAATCCTATTAGCAAGGCCCCAGACTCATGACCTCATCTAACTCTGATTAACTCCCAAAGATGCTGCCTCCAAATACCATCACATTTCGGGTAAGGGCTTCAACATTTGTATTTTTGAGGCTACAATTCAGTCCACAGCTGTAGCAAAGGAGAAACCACAGCAGGAGTTGAATGTAATAACTTGCCTAAGAGATGAGTGACAAGGCAGTGGAAGTGGAAAGGCTGAGAAATAGTAATTATTCCTACTTAGGTTGGAATTATTAAACTGTTATAAGCCTTCGTAGGATATTCCTTTTCCTGACCTTAAAATTATAGACTTTTTCCTGTAGTAACTCTATTTGCATGTACTATTATTTTTTTTTTTGGAGATGGAGTCTCACTCTGTTGCCCAGACTGGAATGAAGTGGCCTCATCTCAGCTCACTGCAAATTCTGCCCTCCAAGTTCAAGCGATTCTCCTGCCTCAGCCTCCCTAGTAGCTGGGATTACAGGGGCTGTCACCATGCCCTGCTAAGTTTTGTATTTTTAGTAGAGACAGGGTTTCGCCATGTTGGTCAGGAGGGTCTCGAACTCCTGACCTTGACATCCCAAAGTGCTAGGATGACAGGTGTGAGCCATGGTACCCAGCCAGTATTTTTGTTTTTAAGGTAGAAGAATTTTCAAAATCAAACTAAGAATAAAGGGATATAACATTCAAAAAATAACCACAGAATTTATTAAACATTCAATATTACAGAAACATTTTAATGTGACATTGATATGTAGTCTTCAAAACGTTTTAAAAACTATGGTAATACTAAAAGTGAAACTCTGAATTATAAGGGAAGTTAATCACAAAACACAAAGCATTTCACTTTTATGTTAAATATTTAAAATTTTATGTTTTAAAAATGTTTATTATTTATACAGTATATTAATCATTGAGATCCCCACACCCCCCACAGCTAAGGTCATTCTAGGTCAGAATAAATGGATAATGCTTTCACTACTAGTAGGTATTATTCCCATTGCACACATATTGAAAATCAAGGCTTGAACAGTTTGTGCCCTAGCTTATTGCTGGCAACAGAGTACGTCTGGAGTACAGAGCACATCCAAATGCATTTTCATCAATATCTGGCTCTGATACAGCCAGTCTGAGCCACTAATATCTAGCTCTGGCACTTAGAATAATGGCCCAAGACACTGCTTAGGAACTTAAGGTAAACAACTTGTCACCTAATTCTCTCAGCCCAGCAATCAAAGCACATTTTTGTTAGGGAATGCTCTGACTTCCCTATCAGTCGTGATATTTTGGAGTAATTCTATACTTTTCATAATGAAACACAAACACGCTTTTGGTATTGGCCCCTCAAAATATTAAGAAACTGGTGGTACCAACGTATCATTTTTTACATTGTTGTGTTTTAACATTTTTTTCTGCTTTTGAGAAAAATACATGCTCATCATTAAAATATTTTGAATATATAAAAGGCACAAAGAACAAAAACACTGGCCAAAATCTTGTCACTCAAGAGATAAGCATGTCATATTATTCTCATGTTTTTCCTTTCAGACTTTTAAAATTGTGTGCATTTGTAATTTTACAAGGTTTGTAACTTCCGTCTGAAAACTTATGTATTCAGGTGTCTGTGTAAATATTAATCTATATTATGCACCTTAAATAGCTGTAGAGTTTTTCACATCTTGTGTACTATGATGTAATTGACCAATATTAATTATTATGATCAGTTACACTTATTTAGTGCTTACTCTATGCTAGGCAGTTTAACAAGCGTTTTGCTTGTACTAATTCATTTGATATTGGCAACCCTATTATTCCTGTTTCTTAACAGATGAGGAAACTGAGACACCAAGAGGTGAAGCAATTTGTCCAACTACTTAATGTTGGACGTTTTAGTGGTTAGCAACGTTTTGATCCTACAGTCAACGTTGCCATATATACATTTGTTCATCTTTTAAAAGAATGTCCTTAGGATTAATTTACCGAAATGGAATTGCTAGGTCCTAAGCTTTTAAAAATCTGTTACATGCTTCCAAATATTTCCCTTAGGAAGATTATACAGTATTAATTTACACTTAATCTAACAGTATGTGAGTGTCCAATTCCCCAGATCCCTGATTCTTTGTAATTTTTTATCTCAATGACAAAAAACATTATTTAACTGCTACCTTAATTTGCATATTTCACCTGTAGAAGTGGGACTTCATTTTTAATGACTTTTGTAAGCACTCTTTCTATACTATTTATTAATCCTGTGTTGACATGTCAATATTTGTTTCCATGCTACATTTGGAGGTGCCATAATTTGGGGATAATTTCCATAATTTCAATTTACATGCAAGATGAGCTTACTACGTTTGTTCCAAGTGGGACGCAAAATCTCTAGTAGATGCTTCTAAAAACTTCTCCATGACACAGAGAATAATTTTTATTGGTTAACTAAACTTACAAGTAAAATAATTAATTCAGAATTCTGGGTTGCTAGGAGTCACCCACTGATTGCTACGAGTCAGTCACAAACAAACTGGAATCAACTCCTAATTCCAGTTTGTTTTCTTTTTTTGCTCAGTCTAGGGAGGTTATCTTGGGCTGTGAAAGACATGTCACTAATCATCACAGCTGCTTAGTGACTGCACGGTTAGTCAGTAGGTGCCAACGCCCTGTTAGCTGAGCCGTTTGCAGATTCCGAAGCCGGGCGTTCAGGGACTCCCGGGAAGGAACCAGCGTTACCTCAGCCTCCCAGAGGGAGCCGCGCGCCCTGACACTCCCATCTCTGGGGATGCAGGCCAATCCGTTCAGCTCCAATGACTTCATCCGAGCAAGTTTCTTGTCACCTCACACAGCGAATTAAACTGTTTACCTAGAAGATGATCCAAAGGAATTTCCATTTCCTTCAAGAGGGACTACAAGGTTAGGATAACCGAGAGAGCGAGAGGAAAAAAGGGGCACGGCTCGACCCAAACTCAAGCGGCTTGCTGTCTGCTGGGTCTCCCAGTCACTCCTGGGGTTGTTAGTAGGCTTCAGCACGCCTGAAGGACCCCGTCTCCCGGGGACTACTAGCCAAGGGAAAAGCAAAAAAACACAATAACTAATTCCGCTCTTTTGTGTGACTAATCAAAAGAGAATTCAGGCAGAGGGGGACTCCTTGTTTATCCTTTATCGACGAGGCAGGCTCCGGGCAGCTTTGGAACAGGCAGCGCCGAGGTCGCCCAGATTCCCGACACGCCCCGCGCGAAGGCTTTCTCGGCTCCTTAGCTGTTGCTGCTGCCGCCGCCGCCGCCGTCGCTCCCGCCGCGATTGCTGCGTGTGGGTGAGAGGAGTAGCTGTCGCAGACCGTGTAGAGTCAAGTCTCTGTTTCTCTTTTCGCCTGAGGAGTCTTTCTTCCTCGGTCGAGCCCTGACTCCGGTGCTGTCGAGGGGGAGTCCCCACGGACACCTCGGCACGCAGTGGAGATGCCTCTCTTTGCCACCAATCCCTTCGATCAGGATGTTGGTAAGTGTTTTCGCCGCTCCCTGCCCATTCCCCACCGGACTGCACGCTCACTCTGCCAGCCTGTGCCTGCATTCAGGACCCTCGGGCCAGGGCCAAGGAAGAGCTCGCTCTTCCCCTTTCCTGAGCTTCCCTCCTTCAGAGCTGGGAGGAGGTTGAGGGCTTGGCGCATCGTCTTTGAAGAAATGGGACTCAGCCTGTGAATGGGCCTTGAGCTAGGATTGTAGGTTTCCAAAGAACTACTGAAGGGGTTGGTATAAAGGGCCTGGAGGAGCAGCTGGTGTAGCATCTGGTGCACGGACTGTGCTACTGGAAGAACAGCGAGGGGCTTTAGCATATGTCGGCTAGATTAGGATTATAAACCCTATACCAAAAGTGCTTGCCTTGACAAATGGTAAACGTCTGGAACTTGCAGAATGTTTTAGGTAAGGTTTCTTAGAGGATTTAAAAATCTCTTTGGTAACGGGTACCTGAAGGAGGGAGCTCTGGTTAAGGGTGGACTGTCGAAAATGTTGGGAGCGATGAAGATGAAATACTTGGCAACAGCTGAAACCAAATTGAGGACCTGAGCTTTTGGGCTCTCTTAGGCTAGATTTCTGCCCTTGAAGAAGTATAAAGAAGTGTGGAACAAGTTGTTGAATATGGAAAGGCGTTTGAAATGCTACATTTTTGTTATTTTCTGAATCACTGGTATTAGGTACTGATCATGTCAATTCAGTAGATTTGCTTTTTGTTTATTTTTTTCTGACTTGAAGATAGTTATGGAAATTTGAGTTTCCAAGGAGAGAATTTTGGTTTAATTTGAACGCACGAAGGAACTACGTTGGCACACAAGTGTGGAATAAAAGCAAGCCAAATCCCATCTCCAAATCCTTTATGGCAGAATTTAATGATTACCGTGGATAAAGTCAACCTTATGAAGTTACTTCATACGTCTTTGTGTATTTTAGTTATGAAAGGTGGATATTGAATGTTTCTTTTTAAACTCTTCCTTCGAGCTTATATAAGACTAGAAAAGGTTCAGTCCTTACCTCTGCCACTTCTTAGCTCACAGTGAAATCATAGGCAAGTTAAATTCTTTGAGTTCTTGTCTTTAAAGAGGGGAAAACACATCATTCCGTTCTGCGGTTAAATGATATAATATGTGTAGAGGGCCTACTACAATGCCTTTCCGTGGTAGGCACTTATTAGATGCTACCTTTTTTGTTCCGGCTTAAATGAATGTCCTGAATCTTAGCAGTGGACAGAACCTTAGAGATCACCGATAATAATGAATTGGAAAATGGCATTTAATTTAATCAGCACACACTACAGGACACAGGGCTCAGTGACATAAGAGATAGAGTGATGAACAACCTAGTTGCTGCTCTCAAGCAGTTTTACCTCTTACTACATGAATCTCTAGGGCAAATACTTAAAACAACTTCTTAATGCTTGCTTCTTCGGCCAGGTGTGGTGGCTCACGCCTGTAATCCCAGCTCTTTGGTAGGATGAGGCGGAAGGATCACGAGGTCAGGAGTTGGGGATCAGCCTGGACAATATGGAGAAACCCCGTCTGTACTAAAAATACAAAAATTAGCCAGGTGTAGTGGCACGTGCCTGTAATCCCAGCTACTCAGGAGGCTGAGGAAGGTGAATCGCTTGAACCTGGGGAGCGAAGTTTGCAGTGAGCTGAGATCGCGCCGCTGCACTCCAGCCTGGGCAACAGAGCAAGACTCTGTCTCAAACAAAACAAAACAAAAAACTGTTTACAGCACCTTTGTCTAGTTTTCATGGTCCTGTATAATTTAGTTAGCTACTACCCAATCACCTTTATATTCTCTGACTTTGTGAAAACTTATTTGCATTGGATTCAGGTAAATTTATTAATGTCAAACCTGTTTCTAGTACCTGTACACCCAGTTCAAACACAGGCACCTTCTTGCCTTTATGCTTTTGCCTTTTGCTTCCGCTTTCTTTTATCTTTCAACATATCCTTATGTATTATGGCCAACTTAGAATCCAACTTGTTATACCTGAATCATTTCCTGATTACTGTAGCAAAGGGTTTCTCAGTAGCAATGTTATTGACAGTTTGGACCAGATGAATATCTTTGTCATAGGGGTTTGTCTTGTGCGATGTAGGGTTTTCAGCCTTATCCCTGGCATTTGTCCACTAGATGCCACTGGCAGCCACCACCTACTCATGATCTTAAAAGTCTCACGACATTGCTAAATGTCCTGGGGGGGGACAAAATACCTCCCAGTTGAGAACCATTACGCTAGTCCACACTAATTTCCACCCTTTTACAAAATCCTCTAATTTATTTTAACATTTTTGTTTTTACCAAATTATTTGACATTAAAGATAGTTATATACTGTATTTTCCTCCTTAGTGAGTGGATGCTGCATAGGAGGTGTTTAGTAAATGTTGAGTTGAGAATGTGTCAGTTGGGTCTGCCCTCTGAGAGTACACTTCTTCAATGAGCAGGATTGTTTTGCTCCAGAAAAGCTGACTTTTTTTTTTTAATGAGACAGAGTTTCCCTCATCTCCCAGGCTGGAATGCAGTGGCACAATCTTGGCCCACTGCAACCTCTGCCTCCCGGTTTCAAGTGATTGTCCTGCCTCAGCCTCCCTAGTGGCTGGGATTACAGGTGCCTGCCACCATGCCCAGCTAATTTTTGTATTTTTTATAGAGACGGGCCTACCATGTTGGCCAGGCTGGTCTCGAACTCCTGACCTCAGGTGATCTGTTTGCCTCAGCCTCCCAAAGTTTGGGGATTACAGGTGTGAACCACTGTGCCCAGCCGAAGAGCTTACTTTTTAAAGTTACTCAGGTTTCGTATTGGACCGGTAGTTCTCTTCTCACAATCCATGCATTGAAATATTACGAAAGGTTTATCTAAGAAGACCCCTCAGAATCTCCCAATGATAGTCCTTGCACAGAATCCAGTAAACTTCTATATTACTTTTTAATAGCATAACATATAGAATACAGTGTGTAGAATACATTTAATTTTTTCACCAAGTCCACCAATGAGTATGTCATGACATTAAGTAACTCATTTGATAAAATTATTTATCACTTAACACTTGTATACATTTGCACATCTTCAAAATTATCTTCAGTCTTAATCTGAAGCTGAATCAGAAATTCACTGACTGATTTATATAATGTAAGATTTTTTATAAAGAGACAAAATGCTGGTGATAGTGTTTCCCTTGAAGAAACACTGAAGGATGTTACTGGAATGTGAGCTCTATGAGGACAGGGATTTTTGTTTGATTTGTTCACTCCTGTATCCCTAGTCTGTAGACCAGTGTTTGGGATGCTGAAGAACATTCAGTAAACATTTATGGAATAAATGAATCTCACTTTGGACATTATAATTCAGGAGTTGAATTTAGAACAAATGTGTAGATAACTTATTCCATCAAGTTTTTATTTGAAAGTCTCTAGTGATTTCTACCTTGCCAAATCCAGTGATCACTTTCTAGTCCATTTCTTTGTTGATTTCTTAATCATTCCTCTTTTATATACGGTATTTGTTCATGGGATCTCAGGACACCAAACTTTTTCTCATTTTCTGCTTAGCTCCTTTTTAGTTTTTTTTTCTTCTTCTTTTTGCAACTTCTAAATGTTGAGTGCCCTGGGACTCAGTTCCGGAGCCTCTTCTCCTTCCACTTTTTTTTTTTCCTTAGAGTATTAGGAAGCAATTTAGCTTAGTGTTAAGAATTCAGACTCTGGGGCCTCACTGCTTGGATTGAATCCCAGGTTTGCTGCTTACCAGCAGTGTGATTTTGGGCTAGTTGCTTAGATACTCTTGTGTTTCCTTATCTTTAATGTGGAATATAAGGGTAATAATAGTTCTTACCGCAGAGAGTTTTTAAGAGGGTTAATATTTGTAAAGCACTTAAAAAATTTCTGTACTTTTTATTAAGATTTCAAATAGAACCTCATCTAATTTCTTAGCTTTAGATATCCTCCATATTCTGGTGACTCCTGGATTTATGTTCTTACTCTCAGCCTCTTGCCTGAGCTCTTGACCTAGATATCCACTTACTGAGTGTCTCCATTTGGATTCTGCTTAGACTCTAACATTCAAAAATTCAGTTCTTTGTTCTTTCCCCAGACCCGCTCATTCCTTCATCCTTGCCCTTCTCAGTAGACAACATGATTAATATTTCCTGTCACTGAGCTCCAGTGTCTAGGAGTATCATTGATTCTTCTTATTTCTTCACACTTCACATTCATTCTATCAGCAAGGTGTTTTGGCTCTACTTTAAAAATATATCCAGCATCTCATCACCTCTCTGCCCCTCACCATGGTTACCTTACTTCAGTCATCCTTATCTCTCACAGTCTGTGGCAAGAGCCTCCTGGTAGACTTCTTTGTTACCACTCTTGCCTCTACAATCAGTTCTCATTTTCAAAGGCCAGTGCCCTATTAAAAACGTTAATGTCACTTACCTGCTCAGAGCTCTCTGGTAGCTTCCTATCCTACTTAAAGGGAAATGCAAGTTTTTTTATTGGGACCCGCAATATGGCCCCTTCCTGTGTGTCTGACGTGATTATGATCTCCAAACTTACTCTCCTGAATTTCAGGCTTCTTGAGTCTGAACTCTGCAATATCATTCCTGCCTCTGTAACTATCTTGTACTCTTTTCTTTGCCTGGGATACTCCTCCCCCAGGTATTTGTAGGTTTGGATATTCATCACACCCACCATTCAGGACTCTGTTCAAATGTTATTTTCTAAGAGAGGCTTTCCCTAATAATCTTCTATAAAAAAATCTCCATCTTGGGCTGGATGCAGTGGCTCACACCCATAATCCCTACACTTTGGGAGGCTGAGGAAGGAGGATTCCTTGAGGCCAGGAATTGGAGACCAATCTGGGCAACATAGTGAGACCCTATGTCTACAAACAATAATAAAGTTAGTGGCGTGGTGGTACGTGTCTGTAGTTCCAGCTACTCGGGATGCTGAATCCAGAGGATTGCTTGAACGTGGGATCTCAAGGC